TAGTGAAACCGCCCGCCAGGAGCTCTTCATTGTTTTGGCTTCTGTTTCTGAAAGTTTCAAACGGCAGCGAGCTCAAACCGTGTCTCCATGCCAGGCGATCTGTTCGTCCCTGGTGACCAAACAACGGCTGGCCGAGCTGCAGCTTCCTGCCGCCAAGCCTTGGTGTGTGTGTGTGTGTGTGTGTGTGAACACCATCACACGTTGTCCACCCCCTGTCCAACCCTCCATCCCTGCTGCTCCTCCACTAACACACTAACTTCCTTCTTGCTTTCCTTCGGCCCGATCCATGAACTGTAGGAACGGGAATTATGAAGGAATGTGGGATTCTACCTCAGAGCGATCCGTGAAACTCCAGGGAATCTTTGAATGGAACATATCCGGGTTTTCCAGAGAAAATTCCTGTTTCTGGCAGAGAGACATCGAGAGTTAAACATAGAAAACATCTTTAGTTAACAGCTGATGTACAGACCAGCTGTTCCTGAACGCATCGCCCTCTGGCAGAATCTCTCTGGAAATGTTGGAACTGTTCCTCTCCTGAGATAGATACTGGACAGCAGCTGGCGGATTTACTCCTCACACGCACCTACCTGTGCAGGGGGCGGGGCTACCTGTGCGGGGGCGGGGCTCCGGCTCTCTTCAGGTGTCTTTATTCCTTCAGGTTATGGATCAACTTTGCTCCTCCAGGTCGGGGTCCTCCTCCTCCTCCTCTTCTTCATCCTCACCTCCTCCACCCCCTGCATGACTCGCCCCGCCCATTACCCTTCGTCTTCCTCACCTGCTCCTCTTCCTCTGCCTGATTCATTCTCTGTCCATATGATCTCCGCAGTCAAGCAGAAGAGCGCCTTCGCCCCCGTCGTGCGGCCTCAGACCTCCCCACCCCCCACCTGCACCACCACCAATGGCAGCAACCTCCAGGGTGAGCATCGCCCCACCCTCAGGCCCCTCCCCCCCGGTCCCTGGTGGGACGCCCAGCATCAATCAGAAGTCAAAGTTGATCCATAACTGGCAGGAAGTTCAGTTCACGTTCTGCTGAGTCGGTCCGAAGAACCCGGAAAAGTTCTGTTCAGTTCATGATTCTGACCCAGACCCGGATCAGAACCTGAGAACCCAGAGCGGTTCTGTTCCGGAGCAGCGGTCGCCTCAGCAGAACTGCTGCCTCCAGACACGTTCTTCTTCTGTGGTTTTACTCATTTCTGGTTTAAACTGGAGGAAGACGAATCATGAAGAAAACGCTGCGAAGCTAATATTTACCAGCATTACCAGACAATATTTATCATGTAATAAGTAACTTATGTTTGTGATGGTAGGCTCTGCAACCTGCTGGTAGGAATGGAGAACTGCATTTGGCCCAAATTTACAGAAATAACAGTGCGTTCTGTTTCCACGGTCACTGGGGCGTTGTTCCATGTAACAAAAGCGGCGCAGCTGCTGAGCCTCACCTTGGAGTTGAGGGCCACATGGAGCCACCATGGGGCCACCATGGAGCCACCATGGAGCCACATGGGGCCACCATGGAGCCACATGGGGCCACCATGGGGCCATCATGGAGCCACATGGAGCTACCATGGAGCCACATGGGGCCGCCATGGAGGCACATGGGGCCACCATGGAGCCACCATGGAGCCACATGGGGCCACCATGGAGCCACATGGGGCCACCATGGGGCCATCATGGAGCCACATGGAGCTACCATGGAGCCACATGGGGCCGCCATGGAGGCACATGGGGC